TCTTTTTTTTGGTGGGACTGGGGATTGAACCTAGGGGTCCCTCCATCCCTGGACTACATGCCTATTCCTTTTTATTTTGAGACAGGGTCTTGCAAAGTTTCTGAGGTGGCTTGCGATCCTCTTGCCTCAGCCTCCTGAGTTGCTAGGATTACAGGTGTGTGCCAGCATACCCGGCTTCTTTTCTATTCTTACACATGTGGGCTCTCTCTCTGGATTACACTTAATATTTGATCCCAACCTCCTACCAGTTCTAGGCACTTCCCTTATGGAACCCAAAGGCTGCCACAGTTCTAACTCTAGACTTCCATTCTCACACCACATCATTCAAGGGACAGGAGAAGGAGTCCTCTGTAGGTTGGGTGGTTCTGTGACTCTAACTGTTCATCTGCTGTTCCCTAGTTCTGTGGCCTTCGTTATATTAAGCTTCTTTGAAAAATTAGGACATTTGAATATCTAAAGAGTCTCAGATTCTCAAGGTGCAGTGGTACCCACCTGTAATCCCAGCAGCTCAGGAAGTTGAGACCAGAGGATCTGAAGTTCAAGGCCAGCCTTGGCAACTTAGTGAGGCTCTTAATAACACAGAGAGACCCTGTCTCTCAAAATTTTAAAATAAATACATAATAAAAAGGGCAAGGTATATAGCCACAGGGTTAAATCCCTAGTACAAAAAAAGAAAAAAAAATATATTATCTTCTGGTCTTGGAGTTAGTTCCATGATTGAGGCTGATATAGCGTCAGGAGAGGCAACTTTAGCAGAAAATGGCCTCTAGAAAGAGGGAAGGGAAGATCCTACCTTGCATGCTGGCAGAACAAAGCCAGGTGGGCAGTGTTCAGAGCAGACATGTCTGTAAGAGTCAATAAACTAGCCATCAGAGGGTCGCTGAGGTGGAAATGTGCCTAAGAATAGAGGAAGAAAAATGGAAAGAAATAGGAGTGTCTGGCCTGGAGGAGAACAGGACCCAGGAAGGAGGAAGAAGGAAGAGGAGGGCTGTTGGTCAAGACCTAGACTCCCATGGGAAAGGGATGGCCATGTCAGTGTGGCCCAGGGACAGTGGAGGAGCAGGGATATAATGAATAGGTTAGCAGTTTGGGCACAAAAGACATACCTTCTTGAAAAATTGGAATATTCTTAGATGGCACTTTACCAAAAGGCAAAGAGATAAAGAAGGCAGTTTAGGGCTGGGCTCCTGTGAGCTGGCCTAGCCTAGGCTGTTCCTCTCCTTGCCTCCCCCTCCCAGCCTCAAAACCAAACTGCTTTTTGTTACTCTCCCTCTGCCACCCCCCCCACCA